TCATCGCTACTGCCTGAAGCACCAACGTCAATAATGAATGGCTCGACTTGTTCCTCTAAAATATTGTCCAGTTCCCACATTCTCTTTTCAACTTTGTCTTTCACGTGCTTAATACAGTTTTCCCATTTTTGCGCTGTTATTAATTCTAGTGCTTCTTTGAAAAGTCCTTTGAGGTCACAAAATTTAAAAGTTGTATTGTGCTTAGCTATATAATTTTTAACCTCTGCCCATATGAGCTCAATGGGATTGAGCTCGTAATGGTATGGAGGTAAACGGAGCACAGTTTTATTTTGACTTGCTGCCATTTCGTCAATGGCGTATTTTTGATATTCCGCCTTGTGATCCTTGACAATTCTTAATAATTGTACTTTCAGCATTGCTTCTTCAAAGTTGATATTTTTCGAGCGGAGCCAATTTTCCTCTAAGTTCGGTAAAATTTTTGAAAACCACTGTTCAAACGATTCGCCATTCATTTCCTCGTGGTAATCTCCAGTTTTCTTAGACTCAAAGCACCACAGACCGTCAACAACAAATCCATCCTCACTGCCAATATGGCAGATAATGAGCCTTTTCCCTTTACCTGGAAATCGAAGTACTAACTGGTGTAGATTTATTTCAATAAGTGAACCTTTTTCAAATGTTTTCATCACATTCAGCGAAAAAACATTGAGACATGAGTATCAGATTGCTATAATTGGGATTATTTAGTTATATTGAAAGAAAGAATATTGAACGTCGTATGATTACTCAGCGCTTCACAATTTAATTTAAAGTTATGAACCTTTAAAAAATGAATGATCAGGAACCTGAAATACGCGCAAATATTAATATTAACAAATTATAACTTTATAAAGCTTAAAGTATGAATTAAAATGATTAGAAATATTAGGAACGGTACACAATATAAAACTTAGTAACTTTTTTTAAGTTTATAATATTCGACATATTTGAAGATTATATTAAAAAATTATTGAAATATCGAAAACACATAAAAACATAGCTTAAAAAAGTTCTAACAAATGAAAAAGACAATAAAACATCCACGCATTTTATCGAAAGGTATAAAAGTTTTGTTACTTGTAATATGTTTTATCTGCCCCCTGGAATTAATGTTTAGAACCTTGTTCCCAAGGTTTGAAAAACATCCGATTGTTGTCTATTACTCGTATTTACCTGCTGGATTTTTTAATCCGGTGGACAGTCCATCTAAAAAGGCCCTCCTGGATGAAGTTACAGAATCATCAACCCATACTTTACTTGTAGTGTGTCCTGCGTTTACCCACGTTTCATCAAGGTAATAAATCTTCCTGTTTTGATTTCTATATTTCCCAATTTTTGTTAAATAATCCCTCCTCCATAGCACAATTTCTTCTCTATCCAGTAGTAAACTATTACGACCCCGTTTTTTCCATTTGAAATTTAAATGCTTCAGTAACGCATGGAAAGTTGATCGTTTGAAATTTGGCAACGTTGTATCTCCATTTACCTCCTGCAGTACTTTATCTATAGTAGGTATTTCATTCCTAAAGAAGAATTCATGCACTTTCCTCCTAATCGCATGCTTATCAGCTTCATCCAATAATTTAACAATACTTTTGCGATGTTTACTGGTCATTGGCTCAGAAAAGGTGTGATTTTTTTGTATTGTCTTAACACATTAAACACTGATGCGCGACACACCCAAACTTTGTGAGAAACCTTCACAACAATTTCTTTGATGGTTGATGCCTCGTTCTCCTCGCGCTCGATCTTATATATATTCAAAATGACCTCTTTCATTTCTGCACTCAGGTGTCTTTTTTTAGAGCGTTTCCTAGGTGGACTACAGGAGTTTACAACTTCATCGGCAGTATCTGTACTACTGGGCATTTTGCGCAAGCAGTTGATAACAATAACAATCAATAACAAGGTATAACAATAACAACGACAAACTCAACAACTTAATAAGATAACAAACGAAAACGTCCAAAGAAATATCAAATTGCAATGATGCACACGACATACGTAACACGTCTGAACCTGAATGTGACTCTGCCTTGATACGACTGCTCTGCCGCTCGGCATAGGCATTTAATTGCGAATTGACCAATGAGGGCTCCTGTTTTACGTCGAGACGGCGGCGTTAGCGTGAAAATCACCCGAACCTTTTGTTTACATCCGGTCTATCTCTTATCTGAATATACTGTAGTGTGCAAATAGTTCATTCGACGCTCCCCGCTACGATCGCTGTTCGCTGACGTTTAAACAACGCGTTCAGCTACGGAACGAGTTAACAACAAGCGTACCACAGCTTGTGCTGAGTTAACAACGTAGACAAACCTACGAAATGTCACAAAAAGCCTACGAAATGTTAAAAAAGAACGACGAAAAGTCACTTTTCAAGATACCTGATACCCGTACCGGTCACAGCTGCTCCTGGCAAGGCAAGAGCATATCATTACTTGCATCAATGACTATTTGATAGTATTTGATGGCCAGAACTTGCTTGTTGGAAATAAGCGAATAATTTAGTGGAACGATCGACTCGATACCGATGAGGGTTAAGTAACTTATATAATGCATGAGGCACGATACGTGGACCAGTCTGTATAATGTACATTGAGAAATACCCTCGTCATTCTGTTTTCACTTTGTCAATGCTTATGAACATTTTTAGAAAATACATACGTATTACTTTGATGTTGACGTATAGCAGCTGTGAACCGAATAGAAAGAGAAGAAAAAGCCACAAAAATAAATGTTTGGGCTGGTATCTTTGGCGATCATTTATTCGGTCCTTTATTCTTACCTGGAAATTTGACCGGTGAAATGCATTTGGAATTACTGGAAGACGCCATTGATCCTGCATTAACAGCCATAATTGAAAATCAGAATGATCGGCGGTACATTGCGAATAGGTTGATGTTCCAACAGGATGGTGCCCCACCACATTACGCATTACGTGTTCGACAATATTTAGATCAGACGTTTCCAGATCGATGGATTGGTAGAAGAGGTGCCATTGAATGGCCCCCAAGATCGCCAGATTTATCACCTTTGGATTTCTTTATGTGGGGTCATTTAAAAAGCAAAATCTATGCTACTCAGACAACATCATTAGAAGACCTGCGACAAAGAATTGTGAATGAGTGCCTTCAAATTACTCCTCAAATATTGCACAATGTTTATTATTCAAAGTTTATTCAAATTCAAAAACCAATATAACTTACAAATTAAAAAAAAAACAACCTTCAGTACAATTTAAATAAAAAAAGCTTCAAAAATACATGAGCTTGTATACTCTTGCTACCCTGAATAACCAAGATTGCAACAGAAATCTGAGCAAAGACGCTAGCATCAGATCTAGAACCAGCAAGTAACGGTATATGAATTGTGAAAATTCTGTATACTCTCGTAAAGGGTAAATGTCTGAATCTTGTCGTCACAAATCCTAAATTACGTGTCTGCATAAACAAATCTAAAATTCATAACAATAGTACAGAAGCATACTAAAAAAACACTCAGAAGTATAAATATAGACTACATAAAATATGAATATCTGAAATATGATAATATAGGGATATTTCGAGTAAGGTCAAACTATGTTGTTCAAACAATAAAAATTTTGCGTGAAGGTTAAGCAGAGAAACAAGGGTACTACAATTTACTACAAAAGAATTTACTACAAAGGAATAGACACCTAAGCTATAAGCTTGTGTGTGTCATACAATATACAAATTCAATGCATGGCTAATGGTTATAAGGTATATTATGAGCAAATGTATATAAAAAAAAAGAAATAAAAAAAAACATTAGATAGAAACGAAATTACTGAGTTGAGTCAAGCTACGGTCGATGCAAGCATGTCAAAGTTATTTAAGATGAACTTCTTAATTCTTTTTTGAAACCATACTTCGAGAGGATTTTATATTCTAGTGGTAATTTATTATACATTCATCAAACTTTATGCATTTTTGGCAAACAGATTTATTCACTCTGGTATAGGTGTAACTTATATTTATTTTAGTTCTTGTTTCATAAGCGTGGCTGGTTGGAACATTGTTTCGGGAGTGAACAAATTTTAGAGCAGCAAAAATATATAAACCTCTAACATTCAAAAGATCATTTTCAATGTAAACAAATCTGCAACTTGACCTACATGGGATACGAAAAAATAGTCCTGACGATATAATTTTGCGCGGTTTGCAGTATTTTTAAAGTACTAGTGTATGCGGCTCCCCAAATACTTATCCCGTAAGTTAGTAGAGACCCCACAAACGAGTTATATATTGAGAGAAGACTCTTTCTGCTTAAAATATTCCTAAAAATGAAAAACTTATGAATAATTCTCCTTAATTTCGATGCCAAAAGCTCGGCATGACTCTGCCATTTTAAATTACTGTCAACAGTGATTCCTAAGTATCTAATAACTTCAACTCTTTCGACAGTGTCAGCACTATCATTTATAATTAATGTTCGGTGGTGTAATGGCATGCCTGCTTTGGTTGGAGAAAACGTTACATACTTAGTTTTAGAGATATTAAGTTTAAGTAAATTGTTATCCAACCAGCATTTGACTTTATTTAATGACAACTCGGTATTCCGTATTGCGTCATCCCATGAACGACCAGTGCAAACTAAAACAGTATCGTCTGCATATGATATCATTTTACAGTTGATATTTGTATATGAGGAACAGTGTTGGTCTCAAAACCGTCCCCTGAGGCACACCTATTTTGATCTTTTGAATGTTGCTTAAATCTGACCCTACCTTAACTTGTTGTAATCGATCAGCCAAATAGTTCTCAAATAAGTTCAGAACTCCGCTACGCACTCCAACACTTTCTAGTTTCTTTAATAAAATTGTATGAGATACTGAATCGAAAGCCTTTTGAAGATCTAGGAAAACTGCAACAGTCTTATTTCCATCTTGAAAATTTTCAAGCACTTGTCCTGTAAGTTCTTGTAGAAATTGCTCTGTATTGCAATTTTTGCGGAACCCAAATTGACAGTTCGATATTATGTCATATTTCTCAAGAAAAGAAAAAAGTCTGTTATTTAAACACTTCTCAAAAATCTTCCCAAATACATTGATAACTGAAATAGGTCTATAATTGAACATATTGTCTTTACTTCCAGATTTAAATATTGGTGTCACTAGGCTTTCTTTAAATTGGCGAGGAATTACTGAGGATTTGAAACAGAGGTTGATAATGTGAGTTATAGGGTGACTGATATACTTCATGATCAACTTGATAGTTTTAGTGTGTAAGCCATCTTTTCTGGGTGCGCTATTATTTTTCAGATTACAAACTATTTGTTGTAACTCTATGTTATCCACTGGAGTTAGAAACATAGAGTGAGCAATGTTGACGACATGAGGATCTGATGTATCAAGAATTGAGTATTGATCTATCCGACTTGTTATTTGCTCACATATATCAACAAAATATTTATTAAAAACACAGGCTATATCAGTGGGAGCGTCCAGCTGCTGATTATTGTGATTAATTGATTTTACGTCATTTTTTGCTAGCATTAGTTACCTCATTAATAACATCCCAGCTCTTCCTATAGTTATTACCAGCTAAAATGAGTTTTTGTGTATAATATTGATTTTTAGAGATCTTAATAAGATTAGTTACTCTGTTTCTGTAGGAGATATAGGACTGTCTCAATATCAAATTATCATTATCTTACGTCAAACTCTGTTTCAACTCACCCCTCTTCTTGATCGAAGTAAGAATACCGTCAGTCATCCAAGGCTTGCGTTTTCTAGTCTTACTATTTATTTTTAAATAATACGTTGAATGATCTATGCCTTTATATAATTCATTATAGAAGTTATCAGTTGCTTTTTGGACATCACTCTCTGAAAAAACACTGTCCCAAGTCACCACTTGCAAATAATCTGTCAACTTTTTCACACCCATTTTCTTAAATTCATAGCTGTTTTTATTAATGATACAATTACTTCCTTTCAAATACCCAAAATTGAACAAAACAGGATAATGATCGGTCATACAATTTTCCAAAAGTATTGGTTTACACTCAATTGCTGTTTCAGAGACCTTAAATCTGTTTGTCTTCAAAAATATGTAGATGAGTTAGAATCTACCCTAGTAGGTGTATTAATCTGAGATATGTACCCGTTCTTATCTAATCTTTATTATTGCATGGAGAGTCATGGTGGCCATTTTCAACATTTACTTGCCTAACGGGTCAGTTCATTCTTCATTTTTAAATTACTTTGCTGCCAAATGTATTGATCTCCACTGATGATGATGTATAAGTTTTATTTAAGCTTGAAATTAGTAAATCTTCAAAACTACTGAACTGAAGTACATTAATTTTATATCATTATAAAGGGAATTGAAAGACCTTTAAGATAAAGTATCACTCGACCCCCTTTCCATTTAAGATTTTGGGGGTGGTGCCAGCCCCGCTTAAGGGGCTGCACGTGCTAACGTGATTTTTTGCCAAACTCGAAAACAAAATCGACGGGTCTGAGCTGAAGTAGAATCTTTTTGTATTCCTTTGAGCTACAGGTGTTATAATTGTAGTGGCATGTTAAAATCTCAACGATTGTTTGCTTTGTCTGGGCCGGATATGAATCTCTACAGCTATCTCTGTTCGAGCTTTTTCTCTCTGTAAGATGTCCTCGCAAGGTATCCACGCGAAAAACGGCGGTAACAGATGCCGACTAATTGCTGGTAGAGTTTAATAACTCTGTCAGTCTTTTTCCACATAACTTTGTGAATATTGGAGGTGCACACCCCATAACATCTAATGATGAAAAATGTTTTAATTATGCATTCCCATATAATATTACGACGAGTCGCCTGCCGCTGGTGAGAATTTGTGAACGGTAATCGCCCAAACTAATAATAAATCAAGATTTTTATAGTCTAGGCTTTATTAAAAGCCATTAGTCTGGTGGCGCGGTGTGCGGTGGTGTGAAGTGCGGCTGGTGGCCGAAGGGCTAGACAGAAAACGGAGGACCAGAACAATTCATTGGACAACAAATTTTAGTTTTTTAATTGAATCTTGTGGGAAAAGTGCACTTCTTTGTTAATTTTGGGGCGCTGAATCCAAAAACGACAATGAAATAAAAAAATTAGTTGCGGTTTAGAAAAAAACCTTTATTTTTAAGGATATATTGAAAAAAGCAACAGGATTCATATACTTATAAGAATCACTATATGCGCTGTCTTTTTGCTGTTCTTTTATGGATCGTTTCTGGAGCATCTCTACCAAGAGTCCAACAGTAGTCTGCAAGCATGGAAGGATTCCACTTTCCCTGGTACCTTTTTTCCATTGTTGAAATATCCTGATGAAAACGTTCGCCGTGCTCATCACTTACGGCTCCGCAATTGTCAGGAAAAAAGTCCAGGTGTGAGTGTAGGAAATGTATCTTAAGAGACATATTACAGCCCATCTTTTGATACGATGATAGCATATTTTTGACAAGGGTTTTATAGTTGTCAGCTTTTCTATTTCCCAAGAAATTAGTGACCACCAGACGGAAATCATTCCAAGCAATTTTTTCAATACCTGTTAAAGTATTTTCAAACTGTGTATCTTTCAAAATATTTCGAATCTGTGGCCCAACAAAAATATCTTCTTTAACCTTTGCCTCATTTAGTCTTGGAAATTTCTGACGCAGGTATTGAAAAGCTGACCCATCTCTATCTAATGCCTTGACAAAGTTTTTCATTAGACCCAACTTGATATGCAGTGGTGGTAATAAAATTTTTTTCGAATCTACTAATGGCATATGCTGTACATTTTTTTGACCTGGCTCTAGGAATTGACGAACAGGCCAGTTTTGTCTGGTGTAATGAAGTACCTTTATCCGACTATCCCATTCACACAAAAAACAGCAAAACTCTGTGTAGCCTAGCTGCAGCCCAAGTAAAAGTGCAACAACTTTCAAATCGTCACAAATATGTCATTGGTGCTCATCGTATTTTATGCATGTCAATAGGTACTTCATATTGTCATATGATTCTTTCATGTGAACTGCATACCCTACAGGAAGAGATGGTAAAATATTTCCAACATGCAATAACACTGCCTTTAAACTCAATGTTGAACTGTCTATAAACAATCTCCATTCTTCTGGGTTATAGTTTATATTTAAAGCCGCCAGTAAGCCGATAATGTTACTGCAGAAAACCAGGTTATTCTCCATATTTAAAAATGGTTCTAAGTCTTTGTGGCGTTTACGAAAAACACATACCGAAACATCGTCTTCTAACAAGTTCCACTGCTGCAGTCTTGATCCAAGTAACTCTGCCTTACATTTTGGAAGTTGTAAATCTCTTACAAGATCATTTAATTCTGACTGTGTCATTTTGTGCGGTTGGTGGCATGACGTGCTCGGTATAAAATCAGGATCTCTTGACGTTGATGGCATATCTTCTTCCTGACGAATCACTCGATCGCCATGATCTGATTCGTTTTCTGATTCGCAAGTGTAGGATTCTGGGGGTTTTGGAATAGAATTTTCGTCACTGTGAGGCACAGGTCTCATCGCAGATGGTATGTTTGGGTAGTTAATAACCGATTTTTTTTCTAGGACATACCTGTGGCTTGTCCAACACAAGGTACCATGCAAAAGTAACAATCATTAATATGATTTGTAGGCTCTCTCCAAACCATTGGGACAGCAAAGCGCATAGACCGTTTTTTGCCATTTAACCAGCTCCTCAGACTTGAAGCACATGTATTACAGCAGATGTGGGATGCCCACTGTTTGTCTTGATCACCTAGTTTACAACCGAAATAAAGCTGATACGCCTTTGTTATTAGTGGAGAAATAGACCGTCTCTGAGACGCAAAAGTGACATCACCACACACGTAACAAAACTGATCTGGATTGTTTACACACTTTAGAGACATCTTGCATGAACGCTGTCAGCCGACTGAGGAAAAAAGGGCTAATATAAAACAATATAATGTACACGTATGTATAACGTAACACAATCATGCCGATTACATCATCTGTCCTTGCCGAATATAAAAATGTAGCACGTGCTTTCTGGTGAATTACAGTATCAGTGTCACAGCAGGAACACATATAATGACCGTATCTCTAAAACTTGAACTAATATTGGAAAAATAAGTTTCATTCCGGTTTTAGCACATTAAAAATAGTAAAATTTTGTTGATTTTATTTAGGATATTTTTTGGCTGTTGATCAGTGTTATTGTAGTACTAGAATCGTACGCACTGCTGTTCATTGCGGAAAATCAAATAACTTTAGAATAGTAATAATTTATTGGTGTTGTTACACATAAAAGAATAAGTAAAGACTACAAAAAATATTATGTCTATTAGTTCATCGTAAACAAGAGCCGTTCTTTCGCACAAAATAATAAGCCAAATGAAAGTATTCGCACTATTAAAAAACTGATACAACTGATCGAACCAAAGACTCGAACTGAAAACCATACAATAACATAAGAGTTTGCCAAATTTACGAGCCCCTTCCCACTTCAGTTGGCCCACTTCAAGATTTGTACCAAAATGTGCCTTTATAAACTAAAGAAACTATACCTAGTGACATATAAATCCGAACACCCAGTTTAAATGGTTTTATTTTAATAAAATTTTGTATAAGTACTTAATGCAGCATAATAAGTAAATGATAAAAATTTCAAAATGATTGCACTGCTTTAAAGCCCTTTGACCTTTAATAATGTGTGAATGCACCCTGGTGTGCTACGCATTCTCCAACGCGCCTAGGCATGCTTCTGATCAGGTGGTCAATGTCCTCCTGTGGTATCTCATTCCAGGCAACCACCAACTCCTCTCGAAGTGCTTCTAGAGTCTGAGGAGGACGTTGCAAATTGAGCAATCTCCTACCCATCATATCCCACACGTGCTCAATTGGGGATAAGTCGGGAGATCTTGGTGGCCATGGTAACAATGTGACATCATTATGTTCAAAGAAGTCTATTGTGACTCTTGCAACATGTGGTCGGGCATTATCTTGTTGGAAAGTTGGATCTGCCAGGGTGTCAAGATAGGGTAGAAGATGGGGTTCTAGAACTTCGTGGATATAACGCTGCGCGTTCATGTTACCTCTGATGAAGATTAAAGGTGACCTGGAACCATAAGCTATAGCACCCCAAACCATAACTCCAACAGTGCGATGAACATGTCTTTCAACAAAAAACTGTGGATTCCTCCTTTCACCACGTCGCCTTCTAACCCTGGCACGACCATCGTGCATGCTTAAACAAAATCGAGACTCGTCACTAAAGACAATACTGTTCCATTCCTGGTCCCAGAGTGACCGTTGACTGCACCACTCAAGGCGATTACGTCGGTGTTCTCGAGCTAAAGGGAGGACCCAGTGTGGCCGGTATGAAAACAAGCCAAAACGTCGGTAAACACTTCGCATGCCAATAGGTCTTCCGTGTTCTGCAAACCATTCGTTTGCAATGGACCTGGTAGTGGACAAACGGTCCCTTAAGGCCAATAATCTTAGGCGGCGATCTTCACGGTCTGTTGTTCTACGGCGGCGTCCAGTGCCCCT